ATCCCATGCTCATTTTGCGCGAAGCCATTGCCGCACAACATGCGCACGAGGCTGCTTCTATGTAAGTGCAAGGCTTGTAAGGATGTGGCACCTTATGCATCTTGCGGCTGGAAGGGCAAGGTGCAGATATGCATATTGTCCAACGTGGTAAGCGTTTTGGAGGCGGGACAACACGTGTCGCCGCTGGTTCCGACTCGTAAGCAATGAAGGCACCGACACGGAGCATACAACCACAAACCTACGAATATCTACAACGAAATTGTGCGGCGCTTTGACGTCGCTGAAGCTGCAATGCCTTAACTGGTCACTGTGCAGCGTTTCGTGCAGTATTACCGTCGCGCACATCTCGGTGGTAGTGATTTTCACGATGACGTGGTGGCAAAGGTTCGCGAGCATGCGTTTCGAGGCGACGATGATCCATTGAAGCCCTTCACTTTTACGTGGCGCACCGACGCAAACTATAAACCAATCGTAGGCCGCGGCTTAGACGCAGATGCGTTCGTCGTGGGTTTATCGTCGAAAAAGCTACTTCAGCAACTTGATCGCGATCCAGCAACGTTTGTGCTTCACCTCGACGCGACCTACAAGCTGAGCCAAGTGGAGTACCCTGTTATGGTGGTGGGAGTTTCAGACTGCATGAGCTCTTTTCATGTTGTTGGGTTTTATATTCTTTCGCAGCAAACGGAACACTATTTTGCTGAAGCGCTGGCAATGTTTCGACGGGTTTACACTACGGTGACGCACAAGCAGCTGTCGGTTCGCTTCGTTATGAGTGATGCTGACAAAGCTCAGCAAAATGCAGAGAACTCAGTGCTTGGGGTAGACAATGACCTCGTCAATTTGATGTGTTATTTTCATGCTGGTGCTAACATCTACGAACGTACGCGGGGAATTCCAATCGTACTCGCTGATCAAGTCGCTCGAGATCTCGCTGACATGCACTACGCAACCTCTGCTTCTGAGCTCGAGGCCATCAAAACGCGGTGCTTGGATGAGTGGCAGAAGCTTCCACAGCTCTCTACTTTCGCAGACTACTTCACCTCCATCTGGCTGAGCTCCCCATTCCATCGCTGGCAGGCCTTTCACACACCGCTTGGATTCGCAGCGACAAAGAACCCTGTCGAGCAATTTAACCGCGCGATTAAGCGCGACTACACGCTTCGAGCCCGCCTTAAGATGGGTACGCTAATTGAACAGCTACTGCTGTACGTGCGAGCGGAAGGCGTTCGAAACCGCCCGTTCGCAGCCAAAAATTAAACCACGTCGTGATATTCTACGGCGTGTTCGCGAGATGACCAAAGCGAAATCGATTCGAGAAGTCCAGCCAATAAAGCTCTCCATCGACTTCTTAACAGGTGTTGAACCACAGTCAACCGATTCATCAATCGTGCACGTGGTCTCCGACCAGCCCGAACGCGTTTATATTCCACAGAACCGGCGCGCTAAGGAGGACCTTCCTGTAACTGCGAGTCTTGCCTCGCAAAAGGCAAGAATGGAAACGCTAGGAATGCCAGGGACTGGGTGGTGAGTTGACGTCGAAGCCCATACATGCGGTTGTCGTATATTTGGTAAGACCGGCTGCTGCGTTAACCTGATCTATGGGCTCTCAATTCGAGGCCAGCTCGCCTCTTTGGGCGTGCCCGACTGGTATATCGCGGTCGCAACAAAGCTCGCCGGAAAGTGAGCGAGCGACAAGGTGCGGGACGCCCTGCTAGCAATGGTAGTGTACTTTCGTTAGAATAGGAGAAAGTTTTGAACACAGTAATAGATAATGACGATCAGTGGCTTTGTACCTCTCTGGCCGCCCTGTCCCCACCCACCCACCCTCCAGCCACCACCATTGCTGCTTGTGCAGGGCACACGCCGCCTACCATCTCGCAACAAGTCCCTCCACCACTGAAAGCGGCTCGCCCCGCGCGATATTCATCACTGGCAGCGTGTGCACGCACTTCAGCTCTGTTCGACCGTCTCGAGTTTTCTGAGGGCGAAAGATGCATTTTATAGCGCTTAATAATCAAGCAGCATTCTGGGTACCCTTTCGGGTTTGTTTCTCATATAAAAAGCCCAATTGTCCAAAACAACTGATGTGTGCTCCGAGCTGCCGCAATAAGGAAGCCGATCCGCCATTCTGTGAAGCTTGATTCCGCCTGTAGCGTTCAGGATAGCTGCGAGAATGCCCTGCCGTGCGCCGTGCCAGGTGACGCCTGAGAGGCGAGAATTTCGAAATGGGCAGTTGTGTGGTACACGTGCATGGTGTGGTGCACGCACTCGCGTCCCAGAATTTAACACCGTGCAGGTCACTGTCTATATCTCAACATATCTGAGTGGAACTCTGCATTTCCTTGGTGCTGCCCTACAATTTTTACGGTCTTTTTCGTTTTTTGTCCGGTGAAAAACGATTTTTCGTCTACACCTTTGTCCGGCCAAACTCGGATTAAGCGACATGCAAAGTCGGAATATAACTTCGGCTTACGTTTGGTTACTTGTGTTTATTACATTAAATTGCGAAATGTGCAAGCAAGGCTGATTTTGCCGCAAGCAAAGTCGGAGAGAGACCAGCTCATCTGCCATACTGCATATTCTCGAGGTCCCTAGCGGCAATGACAGCATCGCGACAGTGTAATTCCATCTGACCCACTAACGTGGGCGTCATACACCGCATGCTTGCTCGATCTGCCCGCTTCAAGAACTGCATTTGGCGCTCTCCGAGAGTGATTAACTCGCCATTTTCATCGCGGTGCACTCCGCGACGTCTATTGCAAATTTGTTCTCGGTCGACAGCCAGTTCGCCCTTAATTCTTGGCTTAAGGACGCTGAAGCACCCCTCGATGGGGTTACACATTGGCGAATAGGGGCCCAGCCGCAGCAGCTTCAGGTCTGCGTGCGCGACAACACGCTCTTCCGTCTGACTGTGAGCAGGCGCGTTGTCGAGCACGATCACGATCTTCTTGCCGCGGAAGCTCTCACTGAGCGCCTCAGACTCGTTCACCTTGTGGTATACCTCTTCGACAAATTCAGCGTTGCAATCCATCTGAATGCTACCTCGTTGGAGACGGTGGTGCACAAGCCCGATGGTCGAATTTACAGCACATTGAATCTGCAGGTTTGGCCCTTTGGACGGAAACAAACCACGACGGCTCGTGCTCCCATCTTAGCACGACCGCGGGTGCGCAAGCAGTAGACGTTGAAGTTCGTCTCGTCGTAGTACACTATGCAGTTGCCCTTGCGATGGTGCTTCAGGAGTGTTTTCGCGAACTTCTGGCGCTTTGCCTTGTTAACGTCATTGTCGCAGGTTGAGGGCTCAATTCGCGCTTGCTTGACTGTGTATGTCAAGCCCACCAAGTGACGGCTAACCGTGGAGGTAGACAGCGAGATGCCAGTGTCGAAGGTCAGCATGCTCACCATCGTCTTCAACATGAACGTGCAGTTCTCGTTCAGGCAGCTCTCCAAAAACGCCACGACCGCGTCTGTTACCTTCGTTGACTTTGCACGTGCGCCTCCACGTTTTACATCATTGACACGACCACGCTTGACCAAGTCGTATGCTGTCGACGATGCAAAGCCGTTGCTTACCGCGACAATCTTCCAGTCAGGGCGACCAGCACGGTACGCGTCGAGCACTCGCAGGCGCTCCATTGGGGTGTGAGGTGACAGGCGGGCGGCTTGGCTGGGCATCTGGGGCCTTAGGAGACGATTGGACAGTGATCGTAGAAGCTGATCCACGCTACAAAGCCACCTAGCGCCCATTCATTTTGGCGCGCGCGGCTCTCGGTTTGGCGCGCTGGTCTCTCTCCGACTTTGCCTGCGGCAAAATCGGCCTTGCTTGCACATTTCGCAATTTAATGTAATAAACACAAGTAACCAAACGTAAGCCGAAGTTATATCCCGACTTTGCATGTCGCTTAATCCGAGTTTGGCCGGGCAAAGGTGTATATTTTCCGCGTGCACTGTAATAACATGTATTGATACTGATCTTTGGATTTTATTTATCCAGGTGGCGTCACAATCCGGTTACATTCTATACCCTCCCGTAATCGGCCTTGAACAGTCAAGCGATACCTCTCCAGTTTAATTAAACCCCGCGGTTTTTAATACATGTATTAACTTTGAAAGCTGACCCATGATCCATGTTTATTTATTATTTTTACAGTAATTTGTTATTCAGCCACTTAAGCAACATTTTGATGTGTCCTCCTTCCAGTGACATGATTTTAGATCCCCGAGATTACTACGAAGTAAGCTTAATATTGCCACGATAATAAAGAGTAGCGGAAATGACCGATTAATAGATTTATTTGTATCGTCTGCAACTCACAAAGGTTCTTCTTAGAGTTTTGCACCTCTTACTCGTTAATAAAAGCAGCGTCATTTGATGCATCATGCAGACTGTCAAAGTTAAAGCTTTCCTCTTCCTGCTGGTTTTCCTCACTTAAAACATCTCCACCGCTGGCAGCTTATTTTTATCTTTAAATTACCTTTTCAGGAGCCAGATTCAAAAAGCTTTCCAGATAGAGAGCCGTCACTCCCGTTGCGACTCTTCAGAGTTGTCGTCATCTGCAAACATGATCCGAATGGAAGACGACCGAAAAAAAAGGTTGAAGGGTCGGCGGCAGATTTTGAGGAGGTCGACGATGCCGACAGCGCAGATTACTTGACAGTGCTGCGGCCCGTACGCGAGTTCAACTCAAATGCGGCCCCTGAGAAGAAAAAGCGTGGGGGGGGGGGGGCGCCATGACGTGCCTCTAACGCTCGACTTGACCATGCAAGTGGTAATGCTCGTCTCTTCGCAGACTACGCTGGACCCGATCCTGTGTTTGGTGAAAATATTTTTCGACACCGTAATCTTATGCCGAAGTTTTCGAGAAATGATTAGCTGTTGTTGTTTTTTCAGCAATGTCTCGTTGGGGCAAAAGATTGAGTTGCATTTGCCACACCAGGGCGAGGCGTAGCGGCTGCCCCATCGTGAATTACCGCGAGTCGAGTCCTGGGTGTAGTGCTCCTTACAAGCACATGTTTCGTGAAAGTTCCGCTGATCCTTTGAACGAAAGCACCGAGTACTCCTCGAATGCATTTGACAGCCAGCGACCCATTAGCTTAATGACGAGCCGATCGACCCCAGTGTTAAGCAGCACGGTGGCGCCTCCAATTTGAACATAATGGGTCGAGAATCTTGCCGGACCGTGGCCTGCTTTTGTTGCTGCACTTTTGACGATAGCTGCGATCTCTGTGGACGTTATTCCGCCAGTTTTCACCGATAGAGCTGGGTCACTCGCTCTCGTACCGAACACTGCTGCTGGTTTGTAGTTCCATAGCGCCACTCGAACCGCACAGATCAGCTCGTTAGACCTGTTGTGGTACCGCACTTCTTTACGACCGAATTGGTTGTTCATGGCTCCATTGAGAGTAACACCGACTACCTTTGCTCGTGTAGAAGCCACTTGGCGCTCGTGATCGTCGCAAAACTAGATACCCGAGAGCCGAAGAATATAATTGGGAACTTGCCGCCCAATAAATAAGTATTCTCAGCGTCGTAACAAGAAGAAATATCCAAGTAAAAGACCACCCAATAAAAGTTGGTGTCGGGGTTGCTCAAGGTCGATTTCTTCGAAGATGAGACGGAGCAGGCGTGCTGTCAAAGGCTGCTGCTAAACGACAGGATTGGTAAATCGCCGAATTCCTCGAAGTAGAATCGCATGGCCAGCATTTACACCAGGATTGTATCCTGCCGTATTGCGATGAAATCAGCGCACCGCACACAATTTTGGACATTTTGTTGAGTATGTGTTTCCTTGCTGAGAGCGAGTCATTCCATACTGCCTGAGATAAACCGCGAGCACACCCAATTCCTCCGCATTCTTGGCTATCGAGTCCGTATTTAGCCGCGAGTTAAGATGCATCATTTTACACCAAGACGTCCATTGAGACCACGCTCTTGTGTAATGTTTCCGCAATGACTGTGTTAAGGCCCCCGCGCGAAGTAATTCTCCCAAAGGCGCGAGAGATTCTCGCAAGTCGTGAGAGATCTGAACCTGTTGCCAACCATAAGACATGTTAGAAAATTTTGTCGCCCGTAGGAGTGACTGCCACACCCTGCTGCCTGCGTCGGCAATGTCGCTGTCTACACCAGCCACGTGTTCGGCTGTGGTATAAAAGCGATGCTTGACTTCGCACAGACTTAAAACACGCAATATCATTTGCGTGAAGCGATTGTGACTTGCTCTGCGGTTGTTCCACGCAACCGCTGCTCTGTTATCAATCCAGAATCGGACGTGAGCGTCACTGTCCTCACTGGGACGATTCCAGAGGTGCCCCGTACTAACGACGCAAAAATAGCACTCATAAGCTCACGGGCATTGATCCCATATTCTCCGTCCCCTGATCTGTTAAGCTCCTGAATTTGTTGAAGTTCGTCAGGATGGAACTTCACTTGTAGAAGCTGATGTTTGGCTGGGAAAAGTGCACACAAATCGCGATCACTAACATCCATGTGGACGTGATAATCCGGATCGTGCCGGCGTATCAACCGCGCCAAAGGGATTGCATTTAAACCTCCAATTGTCAACACCAACTCGAACCAACGAAGGTCATCCTTGGCTCCATCTGACACGAGATGGAAACCAAAGCGTAGCGCACGACGCGTTAAGTCAGCAACTCGCTGAAAGAAAGGCACAGCTGCTCGTACACATGTCACCACATGTCGGAGGCCACCCATGAGCTTCTGCAACTGGGTTCGGGTGGTCTCCAGCCGACAAGCCATTTCGCAAACTCGATGAAGCGCTTTTGCAATCGAATTCTCTGGCATCGATACTGTCCTCTTCTGAAGCTCCCAATGGATCAGATACGCTGGCAAGTACAAAGACTCCGAAAAATACTTCACCGATGGTCACGCCTTATACATGCTGTTACATTCAAGATCGACACTAGCGTATGATACCGAGCTTGCTCTACTCTTGCGAAAGCTTAAATAGACCAAACAGTGTCCTGGGATAAGCTGTATTCAGTACGGATTTCCGCTAAGCATCGGCCTGAGAGTATCAGCTCTACTCCGAGTCCTAAAAAAATCCCACAGCATTATCCGAGATGGCTGGTTTTTGATGAGTACACTAGAAAATTCGCATACGCGGTAGAGTACTACGACTATGTCTGAGGTGACTTTACTATTAATAATGATCAATACTCTTTTGGTCATTTGAATGCAACATTTTGGCGACTCGTACGTGCAGCCACTTACGTCATGATGTCCTTTTGCGGATGCAGCGTTCATGGCTGCAATGGGCACTTGGATAATATAAAAAATGCGGAACGGCTAATTTGAAAAGAGAACTCAGATTTCACAGAAATTGAGATTATAATAAAAATGGAAAATAACGCACAATTGAGATTGTTCAACTCGCGAGTGTTTGGGTCCCCCAAGCTCTGACTCGTTTGTCAGAAAAAGACATCTAATCGTACTGTACGAGTCGTACATGGAGATGCAAATTGTATTTGCAAACAGCTTGTGATATTTTTACAATCAAATAATGTAGTATTGAGGTCGAGCATATTACAATGATTATTACACCATGCAATACATGCTATCAAATTATAGTTTTTTCGATCCCTGGTTTGCATTGCTTTACTGCAGAGTTGCATTCCTACAGCGAAGAAAAACAGCTGTTTTTGAGCCGACATGCTTCATTACATTGTTGATACATGGGCATATTGGCGCCATATGAAATATCAATAACAGCTCGTTTACTCGATAAATAGCTAAATCTGATAAAGCCTCTCCTTTCTGATATGGCCTGGAGAGCTGCTTTGATTACTTCCAGGAATTCTAAATGTTAATGATATGACCGGGAGAACCGCTTTATCAGATTCTATCTAATTTATTATCACTTACTGTGCATTGCAGCGATTTTGGCAGAACGAGATTAGATCTACTATATTTATAAGTAGCAGGTGGTGGATTTACGTAATGCGAGCTCATAAAACCGTGATCCTCGATGATTTACAGTTAAGCGTTGGAAATTGCTCTTTTGAAACTGCAATTCTGGCACAGATGCTGTATTTCGTTTATATGCGCCCGTAGGGATAGGGATATATTTACCAATGCAAATATTTGGCATTGTTTGCGGGTGTATAGCAAAATTTGCAGGTGGATTTAGACAAACATTTAGGTAAATATTAGGAAGTAACTCACTTTACGATGACAGGCTGTCATTTTTAGCTCCTAAAAATAATCACTGCACTGTTCCGGGCTGATGATTATGACTTCTTTCGGTTAAGTAGCGCCTGCTCTAAATACGAGGCCATTTTTCCGTGTCCGAATCCTTCTTTGCACGGTCGAGCAGCTTTTCCAGCCAGTTTTTACTGTGTCGGTCATGTCCACCTTGTTTGGGGGGGGGGCTCAGCTTGTTATACTCTGTCGTGAACTTGACCCAAACGCTCAGCAGTCGATAACTGTTAAGATGCTCCTAATCTGCTACGTGGTCAAGATTGAAGACGCTGCTCGGGGTCCAGCCTTTCCGTATCCAGTTTTGGATCAGTTCGCTCTCCATCTTCTTGGCAGTTGACGCTGTTTCTTTCACCTTCTTGGCTGCAGCGAGTATTCCAGCCAGATCTTTGCCCCCATAGTCTGTCACCAATGTCCCGATCAGTGTCATATGGTATTTCGGATTCGCAGTGTTGTACTCCCTCATAAAGTTGATCCAAGTCTGAAAGTTTAAGTTCTTAAGAAGAGATTTTCCCGCTTTGTCAAGTTTAAATTGCTTGAAGAGTGTGACGACTGGTGAGAGCACGGCGCAGAGGAACAGCGACGAAAAACGAGTCGCGTGGCGAGGAGCGAAGCGGAGGAGGGCGGCGAGAGTCCAACGATGGGGACTCGAAGGTAAGGCGTAGGAGGCAGTTGATGTGCCTCGAAGAAGGTAACTTGGAAAGTGAGATTGAAATGATTAGTTGTTTGTCGGCTACGAGGAAGTGCTTGTTAGCATTCCCTTGGTATCCTATGTAAGTATATGCATTTCACTATACTAGATTCTAAGTAGTCCTTAAGTCGAATCTTGAAGTAGCGTAGCGTAGTAGCGAACCGCGGTTCATTTGAACCGGGTCAGAATCTCCATAGTGAATTCAAATGAAAAAGAATGACTGTCATTGAAGTTCCATGTTTGGCAATACTCGTCCAAACATGGTGATTGCCTTCCGGTCAGGCGTGTGTCTGCCTGGCCGCTCATTGGCAACTTAAGAAGACACTTGGCAGTCAGCAAAGACAACTAGGAAGAAAATAGAAGAAAGTAGGACGCATTGGTACCAACGTCATGGCCATCGCTGGCTGTGACGTTGATGCGTTGTTACATCCTCCCGGACTTGACTTCTTGTTGACGCTTGTTGAAGTCGGAAACGAGAACCTTCCAATGCGACACATGGCGGATGTCTGTTTCGCGCTCCCAGGTTGCTTCGTGATCTGGCAATCCGTGCCATTTCACAAGCCATTCAGGTTTGCGATTGAATTGACGCTTGCGAAGAAGCTTCTCGATGATGTGCATCGTTGCGCCAGTGTCGTCGTCAATAATCAGTCTTGAGGCCTTTGGGATAGGACGAGTCTTAAAACGCGACGGGTTTTCAACGTAATGACTCAACACGTCCACATTGAACGTGGAGTTCAGACGACTCATGCTTCGCGGAAGATTCAACTTGGCCACATTCGGGTTGATCATTTTCACAATCTCGAATGGTCCAATCTTGCGAGCAGCGAGCTTAGCTCGTTTCCCATCAATGTCTTGAGTCACATGGGCGGAAGGAATGCGACGTGTATCCAGCATGACTAAGTCTCCTTCCTTGAACGTGATCGATGATCGCTTCTTGTCATAGTACTTCTTCTGACGTTCTTGGGCTTGAAGAAGATGCTTCTTTGCCAAATCAATGATCTCTTGGCGTTTGGCTTGGAACTGTTTTGCATATTCAACAATTCCACGCTGAATTTAAGTCATGGTGCTGGGATTGCTCAAAGGATTCAACGGATTCCGTTCCTTGCGTCCAGTATCAACTCTAAAGGGCGACATACCGGTAGATGCGCTGACGAGAGTAGCATGAGCATACTCAATCGTTCCGAGATTATCCGACCAATCACGTCCGTGGAACGATATCATGCAGCGTAGAGCGTCTTCCAGAATCAGATTCTGGCGTTCGGTTTGTCCATCGGCTTGGGCACGACAGGAAGTTGTCATGTGCAGACGAATTCCCATTAGATTAGCCAAGGATGACCAAAACTTGGAGACGAACTTGGAATCTCGATCGCTGATGATGATCGATGGTAAACCGTGATGGCGAACAACGCAATCAAAGAAGTGATACGCAGTCTTCTGTGCATCATCAGTCCGGTTGCACGCACGATACTTCGGGCGCTTGGACAACTTGTCGACAACAGTCAAGATTGCATCAAAACCATTGGAATCAGGTAATCCAGTGATAAGTCCATAGAGACGACAGACCAGCATTCCTCAGGAATCGGAATGGGAATCATCTTGCCATTCTTGCGAGAATTGTACCAGAATGGTACCATTGCGAAATGCGAAGGTACGTTCGATGAGCTCCAGGATGAGCAGCAATATTGGAGTCATGGAAGCAAGAGATGATGGAAGTTCGAAGATGATTGTCCCGAGTAAACGGAACACACAAGCTCATCATCGTCTGACACTTGCGGAAAAGTAAACCATTTTGTTTGACAAATGGTTGTTCC